CCACAGAGCCTAGTGGCTGTGTTGTTCAGACTGCCATGAAAAGATCAGATCCAGGTCGCATGTGGGCAAAAAAAATCGGATTTGGGTCACTTCAGGTTGCAGTGTGAACGTAGCCTAATACAGTCAGCGGAAACTGGTTGGTGTCACAGTGGAGGGTGGAGGTTTGACAGGACCCAAATGCAGACACAAAGCTAGAGGTGGTTACTTAAAGGTTTAATTAACCAAAAGTTCAACAAAAGCAAATATTAAAAAACATGAATCCACAAAAATCCAAAAATGCTCAAAACCAAGAATAATCACAACCAGAAGGGGACAAAGTAATGACGACAAACCAGCAAAGAGTGACTGAACAGGAGGAAGATATACGGGAGAGAGAAACAAAGACCAGGCTAATTAGCAGACTGGGAGCAGGTGTGAACAGAGGCAAGAAGGGAGCTAGAGAAAAGTACACTGACACAAGAGGGCAAACAGGAAATATCCAAGAACTCAAATGCAATCAAAAATACCTAGAACACAAGAATCAAAATAACACCAATGAAAACTCAAAATAAAACTTGAACAAAACCAAAAAGATGACAGTTGGAACCAATCAGATCAATATAAATTTGAAGCAAAAAAACAAACAAAAAAATCAAATGTCTTTTTATGAGAAAAGTTCTTGCAGCTGCCAGCTGTTAAAATTTTAATAATGTATCCAGCTTGTCAGCTTTCTAGACCAGCAGTATTAGTCAGTCTACAAGGCTACAAGTGGTTATCAAGACAAAAGACACTTGACGTTATATTACCTTAATATACCAAGATACTGAATATGTCATCACAATAAAAGGAACTTCAATTCTCTTCACTTTTCATTACATTTCGTTGCTTTGTACTTGTGACAGTGTAATGACAATAAAGTTGATTTCTATTATTTTCTGTCCTATTCTATGATTACAAAATAATCAAACTAAATGTTTTTTAGTCAGGCAGTTTTATTTAAATAAGGTTTTGTTATCTTGATATACAAAAAAACAATTTAACAAATTCCAAGATGAAAGAAACTCTGGGAGTCTTGCTATTTCCTCATATTAAGATGATAATAAACAACTGATAAAATAACAGCAAATCTTATTATTACTAGTAGTATTCTCATAGGTATGCTAGAATCTTGTTAATAAAAAAAATAAGGAAACGACAAAAAGAAATTGAGAGTTAGCATTTAATGATGGGCTGAAAGTGTACAGCTGTTGTTGTATCTCAGTGGATTAAATTGGTCCTGTCCACAGATCTAGAGCTATTTATATTCTAAACCCCTATAAGTATACACTGGACCAAATAAAAAAAAATCTTGCTTGAAAGAAATGGTCTCAAAATAGATTGGGACTGGAAATGTCAAACTTTTCTTTCAGTGTTAAATTGAATGAAAAAGAACCAAGAAAAATACAGTGTAATGAAAACTATGCAAAGAACTTGCTGTGATTTTATTTTTATTATTATTTTCATACATCACTTTCCAGTTTCATATGAAAAATACTGATAGGAAAATTCTGCTAGATGGAGCAAGAACATCTGGCAGATTTACATCAGTTATTTGTGTATTGTTGTTGTTTTCTTCCAGCAGATGCTTTCAATGTGTTTACTTTGGCTGTTGCACAGTTTAACTCAAGATCTCTGCCTTTTTGTTTACCAGTCACAGACCTCCAGTTTTCCCAGACTATTCACGGCCGGCCCGTGCCATTTGCTACAGCCGGAGATTGTTATAGTGCAGCCAAGTGTCCACAGGTTGGTTTGAGTTAAACCTTATGGATATTTTGTTCTGTATTATTAAAATTACTTGACCGCTCACTGATTGCCTTGAACTTTGCTTTTATGTCACATGCTATTTAAGATCATCAAACAAATGTTCATATCAGAAAACAATAACCTCATTAAATAAAAAAAATCTGTTTTTAAATGGTAATTTTATTTTAGGGTTAAAAAAAAGGTCATCTGTCAGTTATCTCTCTGTATGTGGAAAAACTCTGATGTCTCGATCCAATATTGATAAAATCAAAATATATCAGCCCTATATCTCAAATCTCTTATGTAAGCAAACTTGCAGTTTATGTAACCAAAAGATATCTAATCCATGGTCCGACATATGCAAAATTGGATACGATACAGAGAAGATTAGGATGGCCCCTGCGCAAGGATGACACGCGTGATCTTGAAACGTTTCCATATTATATTAATCGGGGTGTTTTAAACAAGTGTCCTTTCTGCGTTCTGTCTGAAAACATGTTCCACGTCTTTATAGGGAATTTGTCAAAACAGAAGGAATAACCCTCAAGCCCCACCTTTAATTTTTTTTAAATAGCGAAGCAAAGATGGCCGTTTACCTGTCCCGTAGAGACAGACTGCAGGAAGGACCTCACCTTGATGCCGCGGCTCTGTGGAAGTCCAACGTTAAAGCCAGAATAAGGCTGAAGTTTTACTTCCAGAGAGCCACACAGAACATAGAGGATCTTGTTAAGTTGTGGGGTTGGTGATAGAGAACTCGATTTTAACAAGCTCCTCATTTATTGATTTTAACTGACACTTGTTTTTATCTTAATAGTGATTTTTAACTGTTTTACCTTAATTGTTTATACCGGTATGTTTGAATTGTGTAAATAAAGTGTTGTTAAAAGTCAAAAGACATAAACAATGTTATTGACAATTATTCTCTGTTTTAGTAATGTCTTTGATCAAACTTTTCCTAACAATCCAGAATACAAAATAAATTATATCTATATGACTGATATGGTATTCGGTCAATATCAGTTTTGGTCAATACTCAAAACTGCTGTATTGGTATTGGAAATGAAAACATTGTATCTAGATATCCCTATTTATTAACCTTGAATTGTTCATTTATCACTGCCCACTACTAGAACTGATCACTTTTAAACCTGCAAATTTAAAAAAAAGGGGGAAATAACATCTGACAACATCTGACAGCATGAAGTAGGGTAAAAGGTTTACAAAGGCTTATTGAAAATCTTATTGAAATTCAAGAATATGTGAGAAAGGAAGGCATCGGTTGGTCTGGAAATGGTTTCAAAGGGTTTTCTAAGGGCACAAGTAAATCACAGTAGCATCCACCAATGAAGTAAACAAGAAATGAGGGGTACATTTTCTTTATAGTGACTTATTAAAGTTACTCAAATATTCAATGGACAACTCATCTAGGTAAAAAAAAAGTTCGGAGCACTAAAAAATAGTCCAGAATGTCAGAATCCATGGAATAAGAATGGGATTTGTCAGAAATGGCATCTGTGACAAAGTTCTAAGGCAAAAATCCCTGCTGACTGCAAAGAACCCAAAGACCCGACAACCTGTTTCAACTTATTTATTTTTTTCAACGCTAAAAACTGCTGTTCATATTTACAGTTTTATGTTTGTTGGATACTCAGTAACATTTAAAATGTTACGCTGTATACTTCTTTCTCTGTGATAACATTTTATAAACTAAGTTGCTTTTCTAAAAATTCTGTTTTTAGGGCCAGTTTAGCATTAACCTTGTTGGAACTGGTCTTAAGGTGGCTCCAAATGCCAAATGGACATCTCAAGGGAACTATGTTTCTGTTAAAGTCCACAGATCTGAGGTAAGAACTTCCTTCTGATGTTGTTTCAAGTTTTAATGTGGTGTAATTATGCTATCTCAGCCCCCTCTTCTGGCACTGGGATACCAATGTGTTGGGGTTTTTCTTATAAACATCATGTCATTTCAGCTTTAGTGAGCTGGAAAATGAACTGTTATTCATGTAGTGTCCATTTTGCATAAAATGCTGCCCTTGTGCCGACTTTCTGCTCTCTCATTCATTTCTTTGTGTAGGATGGAACAAGAATTTACGGCCGCTGTGGTGGTTTCTGTGGGAAGTGCATTCCCCACGCTCATAGCGGTCTTCTCCTCCAAGTTCACTGAGAGCTGAGCTGAAAACAGATCTTTGAATTCAGTATGAATTCAGCGGGGCAGGAATATAAAATAAGAGTCATTTGTTGGATCCATGCGATGGCTGTGAACATAAATGGAGGAGGGTCAACTTACATCTCCAATTCCCAGATGGCAGCTAAAGGTACAGAAGACAGGCCCCTTTGCAGCATGCGGCCACTGTTAAGCATTTCATTGTAACAGAAGATGAGCCAGCTTTATTTGCTCTCCGGCCATTTGGCTATGGCACTTTTTGTGGTTTGGAAATGTTCGTTAAATTACCAACCAGGACCTAGCAGCCACCGTGGATTTGGAAGAATAAAAACCGAAGGAAAGCATCCTCATCCAATTTATTTTCATCTGAAACATTTCCATCTTAGAACAACCGTTTCTATCGGCAAAGTTCATAAAGTTCATCAAAAAAATTGTTTTTTTCAGACAACACTTTGCAGGAGGTGCACAAGTAAAATATTAATAATTTTATAGTTTTCTTACTGCTACAATGTCAGAGGTATACACCATTAATGGCTTTGACAGGATTTATAAGTATTATAACCATCAATAAACAGCCTAGACAGTAGAATCTCTCAAATAGTTAGCTAGGACTTAGCAAAGAAAAAATGGTTTTCCTGACCTGCCTCGCATCAGAGGTCAAACTTTAAAAAAACTTTTGGTGCATTTAGAGGAACTTTAGATTGATTGTTGCTGTCTATGCTCCTACGGCAATCTGTATTCCATCCTCAGTTTGTAGATTGTCATCGGCATCCCTGCTAAAGATGGCTAAAGAACTGCATACCATTACAAGTTTGTAATTTAGTTTTGAGAATAAATTCAGCCAAGACAGAGTCTTAGTCTTGTTAAAATTATAGAAATAAGTGCCATGTATAAACTAAAAATGGAAACTCTGTAGTTGCAAATAAACCCACTACTGTATATTTCATCGGTATTAGATTTAAAGGAGAAGTCCGGTCATATTCAGAATTTGCCATGAAGCGCTGACAGATGGACCTAGTATTCAAGGAGAGACAGTCCAGTCCAAGAATGTCCCTGGTGCTGCAGTTCCCGAGGTCTTGCAGGAACCCGATCCTGGTCAGGGATTCAGAACAGACAGGAACAGACAGGTGGCAGGATCCAGGCTTCCAGGCATCATAGAGCTCCCAGGCGGTCACGCACAGGAGCAGACGGGATCAGGTGCAGATGAGCAGGCTCAGTGGAAGAGGGTCGCCGAGACAGGACGTGGAACCAGAACTTGATGCAGGACCTTTAAACTGGTCTCCTCCCTGGAGCCAGGCTTACTGAGATAAAAGCTGAACTTCCCCACATATAGAGCTAAAACCCAGAGGACTCCGCGGGGGAGGAACAGTGGACGATCAGGAGACAAGACAAACACAAAAACCTCTTTCCACTGGCCCCCAGGATCCAAAACATGAACCAAGGAATCAAAATAACAGAAAGACAAATAATGATCTGGCCCTGAATGCTCAGGCTGCACTGAATATAACCCAGAGGAAACAGGTGAGAGGAATAAATTATAATTGAGGCAGGGAGGGAAAACGACAGATGAAAGGATTGACTAATTAAGGGAGAGCAAACAGGCCAGATCATGACAGAATTCAAAACTCTAAATATGAAATGATTACATACCGTTCAATAAATAAGTATTTTTAATTGAGAGTAATTTTCATTTGAATGTGCTTTCTAATGAATCAGAAAGGTGAAAAAACTAAATTTTTTCACTTTTACCCAATGCATTACAACATCCAACTGCCATGCACGTGGGCATTGTCAGTTTAACTACAGCATTCGCGAATTTCAATGGTGAAGTCCTCTCAAAATCTTAAATAATTGTTGTTGATTGGAGGGATGTCTGGTAGTTCCCATTGATTTTGGTTGTAAAGCGGGGAGAATGGCACTAGGCTTACCGTAAGTAAGCAAGTTAAGGTGCATTAACTTTGATAGAGTTTGTATTCTGCTCAAAAGAAAATATATCTTGAATTTGAAAAATCTGCAGAAAACCCAGCCGCTGTCATAATCACATACAGTGGACGCTCAACTTATATCAGTAGTTGACTTTTTTCCAGTAGTGCTGTGGTCTAATGAAGCAAAATAAACCGTTGGATTTGGATAATACACACTACGGGGCTTAGTGTAAAACAAAGTGCAATCATCTAGAATAATGAGCCAATATTGCCAAACCAATGCTGTTAAGTAAACGTTGAGCCCCTTTAATGTCGAACAAAGTAATAAGACCAAAATCCTGTAAAAGTCCTTGGAGGTGAGCTAAAGAGGAGAAAGGATCCTGGCGCTCTAAATTATGCTCCATTAATAAACGAGGAGCTTTTTCACATCTTTACCTGGGTTGCCAACAAATGTGTCAAGCGTTTAAATGCAACTGAGAGCCACATAGACTGTTCAAATAAACACCTTTGCCGTGAGGACAAATAAATTGACGATTACTTAGAGTTTAACTTTTAATGGAGAAAAAAAAGTGTTATTCAGTGATGCACATGTTCTCATCTGTTACAGTACACGTCACAGTTTCGGGTGTGGGGTCTCACCTCACCCACTTCATTGGCCTGTTTTAGATACTCACAACCCTACCTCTCACAAGCAACTCTACTCTGAAAAGTGTTGTAACATATTTATGTTTATCTGTATTTATTCTGTACTTATTTTTGAGTATATTGTTTTTATTTGATATAATGACTACTATCAGCAGAGAAAACATTGTCTGTTTTGCCAAAAAAACTTACTCTATTAATGTATTATATAACCACTAACCTGAATGTATGGTGCTTTTTTAACCACTGGAATTACCTCTGATCTAAAGAAGGAAAAATATTGACTTTTAGAGTAAAACTTTCTGTTGCAGAGCCTTCATCATTTGGAATGACATAGTTAGAAATCTCTTCAGCTGATGTACGATCTGCTTATAAAGCAGGTCAGTGTTCTGTTTTTAATGCACGAGTCTTAGATCTATGAGCTGAACCTGTAGATGGGAAATCTCCTCCAGAAGAAGCTAACTCCTCATCAACAACTGTTACTGGGCAACCACCATGTAACCTAACACAACGGCATGCAGATGTTGAGCTTTTAACCAAAGTCGGGAAACAGATCTAGAATACATTTTCTCCTCAGACAATGCAGCTTCTTCTACTTTATAGAACATCTGAAAATGATAAGTCACTGAGCAGCTAGAAAACTTTTGGCTGTTGTCTTTTTTTTTATGACAGTCAATTTTGCTATAAGATCTGTATCAGAAATTAAAAGAATACTTGACGCACTATGTGCCATTAATTTTGTAGAAATGTAATCCTGTATGTTTTTGTAATACCTATACATTGTAACTTATATATGTGTGTTTGTTTTATTCTTCAATACTTGAATTGTAAACAGTGTGTGATGTATTCAATGGGCATTGAACAGAGATTGTATGGTTGTGTGCCCAGCTTTATCCAAAGATGTTTTTAAGAATGAAATGTAAATAACGTTTGTATGCAAATATGGTATATATAAATGCATGTATGGAGGAGGCCTGAATGTTATCTGTAAGAAATGCATAACTCTGGTGCTACATATGGCTACTAATCATACAGCTGCTGTATGTGTTTTACTAAAACAGGAAGTTAGAAACACTGAAAAATAAAAATCTGCTTTCAAGCCAAAAAAAAGACTTAATGTTTCTTTTTTTTCCTATATCATTTTGTGTAGTTACATTTCTACATTAAAATCTGTTCCTTGGAAATCATCTCTACCACTACAGAGTTTTGGGATGTTTACATATTACTTAAAGGAATAGTACACCCAAAACATGATTAGCCTTCATTTTCTACTCACCCCCATGCTGAACAACACCCTGGAGTACTTTTTTGATATCTCAAATGCATCTGGAGATCTGGGAGGCTTCTTGCTGTCTGCTGACATTCANTGGAACCAGAACTTGATGCAGGACCTTTAAACTGGTCTCCTCCCTGGAGCCAGGCTTACTGAGATAAAAACTGAACCTCCCCCCATACAGAGCCCAAAACCCAGAGGACTCCGCGGGGGAGGAACAGTGGACGATCAGGAGACGAGACAAACACAAAAACCTCTTTCCACTGGCTGCTAGGATCCAAAACATGAAGCAAGGAATCAAAATAACAGAAAGGCTAACAGAAAGACAAATAATGATCTGGCCCTGAATGCTCAGGCTGAACTGAATATAAACTAGAGGAAACAGGTGGGAGGTATAAATTATAATTGAGGCAAGGAGGGAAAATGACAGGTAAAAGGATTGACTAATTAAGGGAGAGCAAACAGGCCAGATTATGACAGAATTCAAAACTCTAAATATGAAATGATTACATACCGTTCAATAAATAAGTATTTTTAATTGAGAGTAATTTTCATTTGAATGTGCTTACTGATGCACCCATGTTTGTCAAAGAACACTACTGCCACCTACTGGTTTGTGACGTCACAGTGCGGTATCAGCTGTTGAGTAAGTCCCAGTGCTCTATCGGGTGTTTGTCAATATGCGCTATTATCCAAGTCATCTTGAAAACATTCTTCTTCGAAATGTTGGCTACATATGACGTGGTTTTTTCTCTGGCCAGAAGTTTGATGGTTAATCCTCCCCCTTCAAGTTGGCAATCCAACGATAAACCCGTCCTTGGAGGCTAATGAATCGGAAAGGTGAAATAACTACTTTTTTTTCACTTTTACCCAATGCATTACAACATCCAACTGCCATGCACGTGGGCATTGTCAGTTTAACTACAGCATTCGCAAATTTCAATGGTGAAGTCCTCTCAAAATCTTAAACAATTGTTGATTGGAGGGATGTCTGGTAGTTCCCGTTGATTTTGGTTGTAAAGCGGGGAGAATAGCACTAGGCTTACCGTAAGTAAGCAAGTTAAGGTGCATTAACTTTGATAGAGTTTGTATTCTGCTCAAAAGAAAATATATCTTGAATTTGAAAAATCTGCAGAAAACCCAGCCGCTGTCATAATCACATACAGTGGACGCTCAACTTATATCAGTAGTTGACTTTTTTCCAGTAGTGCTGTGGTCTAATGAAGCAAAATAAACCGTTGGATTTGGATAATACACACTACGGGGCTTAGTGTAAAACAAAGTGCAATCATCTAGAATAATGAGCCAATATTGCCAAACCAATGCTGTTAAGTAAACGTTGAGCCCCTTTAATGTCGAACAAAGTAATAAGACCAAAATCCTGTAAAAGTCCTTGGAGGTGAGCTAAAGAGGAGAAAGGATCCTGGCGCTCTAAATTATGCTCCATTAATAAACGAGGAGCTTTTTCACATCTTTACCTGGGTTGCCAACAAATGTGTCAAGCGTTTAAATGCAACTGAGAGCCACATAGACTGTTCAAATAAACACCTTTGCCGTGAGGACAAATAAATTGACGATTACTTAGAGTTTAACTTTTAATGGAGAAAAAAAAGTGTTATTCAGTGATGCACATGTTCTCATCTGTTACAGTACACGTCACAGTTTCGGGTGTGGGGTGTCACCTCACCCACTCCATTGGCCTGTTTTAGATACTCACAACCCTACCTCTCACAAGCAACTCTACTCTGAAAAGTGTTGTAACATATTTATGTTTATCTGTATTTATTCTGTACTTATTTTTGAGTATATTGTTTTTATTTGATATAATGACTACTATCAGCAGAGAAAACATTGTCTGTTTTGCCAAAAAAACTTACTCTATTAATGTATTATATAACCACTAACCTGAATGTATGGTGCTTTTTTAACCACTGGAATTACCTCTGATCTAAAGAAGGAAAAATATTGACTTTTAGAGTAAAACTTTCTGTTGCAGAGCCTTCATCATTTGGAATGACATAGTTAGAAATCTCTTCAGCTGATGTACGATCTGCTTATAAAGCAGGTCAGTGTTCTGTTTTTAATGCACGAGTCTTAGATCTATGAGCTGAACCTGTAGATGGGAAATCTCCTCCAGAAGAAGCTAACTCCTCATCAACAACTGTTACTGGGCAACCACCATGTAACCTAACACAACGGCATGCAGATGTTGAGCTTTTAACCAAAGTCGGGAAACAGATCTAGAATACATTTTCTCCTCAGACAATGCAGCTTCTTCTACTTTATAGAACATCTGAAAATGATAAGTCACTGAGCAGCTA